ATGACCAAGTGATGACGACTGTCAGTGGATCAGAACACTTTTGTGCTGGAAGAGTATGTAAGTTTTTCCCAGTTGTTAAATAAATGAGTCTGCTGCATGCATTCTACCCAATTTCCAGCATCTGAGACATTGACACTGTGCCTTTTCGCCTAGTCCCCCAAGGAAGATGATAGGGCCCAGCAACATGATGCTATGTTGTTTACTGAAATTCAGATTGTTGGATTTCTAGATGACCTTTGAATGTTTTCTTTCTCAAGAGTCATTCAGAAGTGTGGTGCTTAGTTTCCCTGAGTCTGTACATATTCTCTTGTCTACTGCTAAAGATACTCACCTGTACTCCATTGTGGTCAAATAGGATGAAAATTATTTCTGGGTTTCTTTGTTAACACTTAATTGGAACCTAGTATATGTTCAGTTTTCAAGAAAGATGAACTGTCTTCTCGGAAGAATGTGTACTCTTTTTATTAATTATTTTTTATTTATTTATTGTGCATACAACATTCTGCTTTCATGTATGCCTACAGGTCAGAAGAGGGCACCAGATCTCATCACAGATGGTTGTAAGCCACCATGTGGTTGCTGGGAATTGAACTCAGGACCTCTGGAAGAGCAGCCAGTGCTCTTAACCTCTGAGCCATCTCTCCAGTCCTGAATGTGTACTCTTCATTGTTCTTGTAAACTGTATATAGATTGCTACAATGCCCATTTGTGATATTATTAATTTCACTGATATTTAGGTTTATGTCCAATGGCACATCATTATGTAACACTTGGAGTATAGAGTGCTCCTATAGTAATGAGCTTTATCTGTAAATTTGACAGTTGGATCATGTTCGTCAAAAATTTGAAAAGAATGTGTTTGGTCCTTAAAAGGGTCACCCCTAGCAGGACACTGTTGTCCACACCTTTAATCCCAGCACTTGGAGACAGAAACTGGAAAATATCTGATTTTGAAACCACTCCAGAATACAGAGCTAATTATAGTACAGCCATTACCACACAGAGAAACACTGTCTCAAAATTTAAAGGAGGGTAAGGTTAGTGTAACTAAATAGATATTGGCACTGATGTCTACAGGGGCATTGAGAGTCACTTTTTTCAGGAGGATATCCACTAGTTGGTTGCCCATAGTGGAGAAGTCCCTTTATATCACAGTATGGACTCAGTCAGCACCCTCAACCTGCCAGATCTTTAAAATCTGTATAGGTGCAGTTTTATGGCAAATACTCACCTAAGAGTGTTGAGTATTGTAAGAAAGTAGTTTCCTTAGGGAGAAGAGTAGGGAACATGGGCCTCGAGGCTGCCTGTGGGGTGTACACTTCAGGTGCAATTGCAGATGGCCCTTGCTGTTCCAGACTCTATCATCCCCTGGACCAAATAACACTGGCGGAGCTTTTGGTTGAGATCTCTGCATATCCCCAAAGTAGCTAGTTTTCCAGTGCTCCTTCTCAGGAATCTAGAAGCCCAATGTACATTCACCATTCTGTTCTTCTGATGATTCTAGTTGTCCCAACAAAGAAGCCTGTTGCCCTCTGAACACACAGCCACACAAACTTGGACTTGACATTGCCTCCTTCTGTACCACAAAGCCTAAAGAAGCAACATTGGTAGCAGCCTATGATTATGCTCACTTTGAACAATTTATCCATTTTATTAATAAGGTTTCTCAGTGATGAACTGTTCTCAGTCTTCTCTGCATTTTCTAATAAAACACTTTAAGGAAGTTCTGGTATGAACCCTTATTGCCTATACACTTAAGGAAGCCTGTCTTCTGACAGTTCAAATCTATTCGGGGCTACTCAGTACTCCTCACCTGCCTTTTCCACAAAAATATTGCCTTCAGTTTGCTATGTACATTCTAAACTCATGTCATTAAGGGTAAAACAGGACTTTAATGTAGAAGACAGCTGCAAATGGGTTTGTGCACCGGAACTTGGTATAGGGCTGGAAAAGAAAACTCAAGGATTAGGGATGAGGCAACAGTTCATTGCTGAGATCTATTCATCAGTTCATCTTTCACAAGTAAGAATAGTCAAGAATAAGACAAGAATTGATAGCAAAGTTTTGTCTAGAGTTTAGAGAGACAACTCTGTAGTCAAGAGTGTTTGCTGCTCTTGAAACCGAGTTGAGTCGTCCAAGTGCCTATTGCCTCAAATTCAGGTTTTCTGATACCTTCCTTGGGCCACCACTGAAACAAAAACTGTTATGGTGACATACCATAGACAACTGAAAATGAGGTACATTCATAAAAGAAAGTGCCTGCATGAATATCTTAAAGAGCTTGGCAGCATGCCTGAAAGAAAAAGAAAAAAAAATCTCACTCAAAATGACTAGAAGGCAAGGTGTAATCAAATTGTAAGCTTTGTCTTGTTTCTGTTTTTGACAATATCCAGTTTTAATTCACAATATTCAGATAAAATGCATCTTTATTTAGGGTAGAAATTCTTCTTTGAGTGTCTTAAAATTATTCCTGTGCCTTTGATTTTGTTTTTTTCTCTTATTATCCTGGTTTTCCGTGTGGTCCCAGGGATGTTCTGTGCCAAGAAAGTTTAGATTTAACATTTTCTTTGACCTACATATCAATTTCTTCTATTGTGTCTTCAATGGATAGGATTCTTTCTATTATATCTTGCATTCTCTTGATGAGCCTCAACTCTGAGGTAAGATTTGAGTTCCAAATTTGTCATTTTCATAGTTATTTTTGTTTTTGGAGAAAAGGGTTTAATTCAATTACAGCTTATATAGTCCATCCTAAAGGAAAGTAAGACAGCATAAAGGAAAATAAGAACTCAAAGCAGAACCTGGAAGCCGAACCTGAAGCAAAGCTAATAAATGAATGAATGCTTCTCACTGGCTTGCTGTGAGATTAATGTATATTAATGTCACCTACACACACAGACTGGGAACTCCCATATTAAACATTAATAAAAATATGACACATATATTTACATACAAACAAATCTTTTCAGGTTTCCCCTTCCCAGATGATCTAGGTTGTATCAAGTACACAAAAGAAAAAAGCCCTAAGCAGTTCATCTGGACAGCCATGGCCCATACCAATAATCCGAGTACGTAGGAGGCAGAGGCAGATCACCCTTTGTTTGAGGCCAGCTTGTTCTACAGAGTGAGTTTTAGAACAACCAGTGCTACAAGAGTTTTAGAACAACCTGTCTAGAAAAAACCCAAAAAACAAAAACAAAACTTAACAAAAAACAACTAAACAGTTCAACTTGTCAAACTTGTTGATGATTTCAAAGACCGAAATCCTCATTTTATTGATTCTTCTTTTTTAATACTTATTTTATTATATATACAATATTCTGTCTGTGTGTGTGTCTGCAGGCCAGAAGAGGGCACCAGACCTCTTTACAGATGGTTGTGAGCCATCATGGGGTTGCCGGGAAATGAACTCAGGACTTTGGGAAGAGCAGGCAATGCTCTTAACCACTGAGCCATCTCTCCAGCCCCAATTCTATTGGTTCTTTGTGTTGTTTTTGGTATTGTTGTGGCTCCTATGTCATCAATTTCAGCCTTGATTTTGATCATGCCTTCCAGCCTGTCACTTTCAGGTCTTACTTATGCTTGTTTTTCTTAGGCCTTCAGGTCCATTATTAATTATTAATTTGAGATATCTCAAATGTTTTGGTGTAAGTACTTAATTCTATAAACTTTCTTCTTAGGACTATGTCCATTGTGTTCCATGGGATCTTAGTTCAGTTGCTAGCGCTAACATATGTGTGTGTATATGTGTGTACACACACATATACACACACACATATATTATATATGTATAGTATTTTTACTTTGATGCAATTTTAGTTTTTCATTTTTTTATTTCTTATTATTATTATCACTCAGTATTGTGTTAATTTCAATGAGTTTATTTACTTTCTGTAGTTTCTATTTCTGAAGATATCCAGATTTAACCCTTTGTGGTCAGATGTCGATTGTTACTACAATTTCTTTGTATTTGTTGAGACTTATGTCTTAATATGTAATTGATTTTATGAAAACATCCCATGGGCGACTGAGAAGAATATATATTCTTTTCAGTTTGAGTGGATTGTTCGGAAGATGTCTATTATGTCCATTTGGTTTATGGTGCTATTTAACTACTCTGTTTTTTTGTTTGTTTGTTTGTTTAGATTTTTTTCAGATTCTCCTTGCAATGCAAACCAATCATGTTTAACGACACGCTTTAGTGGATAGAGCCCTAGAGAAGAATTTGCGAATTTGATAGTTTACGTTGGTTAAAACGTTAATATGATTGAGGACGCCCTTGCCCATCTTATGAATGTTAAAGTGCTGAAGGAGAAATTTCACGGTAGAAGGATCTTCATAGGAAGCTCCCGGAGTTAACTTATTTGGTATCTGTCCGTCATCATTAGGAAACGTTCCTCTGTAAGGCTTTCTGTTCAGCAGAGTGTGCGGTCCTGAGGACTGAGAATACATTTACACTTGATACTGTGGGTTATCTTCTTGACCTGGGCAAAGTAAGGTCTGTCTCCAATTCAAGATCTGTTCCTGTGCCTCACTGGCTATCCTTTGTGTACCATCGCTTCCGGTTAATTCTATTTTACTCAGTCAGGAAGTGCATTCGTGACAAATTCTTTAATTGGCACATTGGGCCCTAGTTCTTACTCTGCTTTCACTGACCCGGGGCCCTTCCTGTTATGGTCACGGGTTTTCTTTAATGGCACTGACTATCGGCTGTCCGGAGCCAATCTGTGCACTATTTTATGTGGAATAAAAGTAGGATCCCACTGAGTACATGGGGAAGCGAGTTTGTGCGCTAAAATCTCAAACAGTGTTCCCCTTAAGTGCAATTATCCGTCAAGCTTATTCCAAGGGGAAAGCCCGGGTTATGATCGGATGTTAATTTCATTTTATCACCTCCCCCCCCCCCGCCCCCGTTGCGAAAGGATGTTGGTCATGCTACTCTTGAATAAGAAGGCGGGTCCAGCAGTTTTCGTCAATCAGGGACGCTATTACTTCCTTGCTGGAAATGTCGAATGAGGAACAAGAATGTTCAGCGGTTTCCGCCCCTGGCTCCATTTTTGAATCCCGTGTTGCTTTTGTGAAGTGTGTGACAGCTGATTTCTGTCGGTGTCACCTATTCTGTCGGCAGGCCCCTCCGAGACGACCTCTGCCTGCGTCCGGAGCAGGACATGGTGAGTGCGCGGTGGCTCCTGGAGTCGTTGGTGCAGCCTGGCGCCGCCGACCGACGAACCCTGGCGCTGTGCTGCAGACTCCGGGGTGGAGTCTGGCACAAGTGGAGCCGGCAGTCGAGAGTCCCCCTCCTGTCCTGTGGCTGCTGTGAAACTGCTTCATCCCAGTCCCCAGCCTGTCGTGGGAAATTCGCGACGAACCTCCGCCTCTGCAGACGATGAAGCCTGCAGGGCTGGAGACGCGGAGTTCGGACTGTGCAGGGAAGATGGTGAGCGTTGCTGCCTGTCTGCCCTGGCACACTGGTTTCCGACCTGCTTTATTGTTTTATGTAATCTCTTTGGTGTTGTATTGGTTTTGCTCGAGGCTGCTTCTCAAAGCAGAAGGGGCCTTGTGTGAGTTTTTTTATTTTATTTTATTTTTTATTTTTCGGTTTTTCTGTCCTGGAGCTCCATAGGAGCTGTCGATGACCTTGAAGGTGTGATCCTCGGTTCATCTCCCAAGTTTTGGGGTTGCAAAAACTGAGTCACCACACTTGGTTTAATGTGGCGCTGGGGAGGAAACAGAAGGTGGGAGTCTCTGCATATTAAGCGAACACCACCAAGTATATTTTGTTTAGTGTGCTCACGTGTGTGTGTGTCTGTGTGTGTGTATTTCAAAGCTAGTGTTATGAAGACTTTCCTGATCAGTACAGAAAATATCAGCATCAAATAGGATGTTTTCAGTGGACCATGCTCTGAGACCTCTACAGAAATCCTTGGAGGGGAGGGAGGGAATCCCTCTTGTGTGATTTTGCTGTTGTTGTTATTGTCTTTGGTTTGTTTGGTTGGTTGTTTTGTTGGTTGGTTTTTTTCTATGACATGGTTTCTCTGCGTACACCTGGCTGCCCTGCAACTCAGCTCTAGACCAGGCTGACCTCTGCCTCCCCAGTGCTGAGATTAAAGGTGTACACCACCACCATCCAACCTCTCTTGTATAACTTTTTTAGGATAGGAAAATGAGTTTTAAATGAACCTCTTAGTGCTGTCTTCATTGTATTTTATCTGTTTTCTCACATCATGCCTTCATTTTCATTTAATATAAGGAAATACTTGATCTCCTTTATTTCTTCATTGACACATTCATCATTCAGTAGGGTGTTATTTAATTTATGAACTTGTAGATTTTCTGTAATTTCTGTTACTATTGGCTTTCAGTCCTATTGCATTGTGATGAGATAGAATACAAGACGTCATTTTAGGTTTCCTCTATTTGTTGAAACTTGCTTTGTATCCTCTTATAAAGACTTTCTTTTATTTGCTTAGAAGTGTGTGTATTCTCTTCTTTTTGAGTAGAATATTCTTTGTGTGTTTAGCTGGTCAATCTGTTTTATGGTGTCATTCGTTCTGTTTGCTTGTTTGTTTATTGTCCTTTTGAGACTCAGTCCCAATTATGTAGCTCCAACTGGCCTCAAACTTGCTATATAGGCTACGGTGACGTGAAATTCATGGAGATCTACCCGTATCTGGCTTCTGAGTGCTGGGATTAGAGCATACCCCACCACAACTGACTTCATTGTGTCATTTAATTACAGATTTTTTTCTGTTTATTTCTTGTCTAGTTCATTAGTTGACTGATGAGTTGGGTATTGAAGTCACTGAGCATTACTGAATTTGAATTAATCTGTTACTTTATATGTAGTTGTTTTGTAGTGACATTCTACTTGAGATGTGACCAATCATCTTTTCAAGCCAGACAGGAAACCAACAATAGGCAAAAGTATGGCTACTACCAAAGTCCAGCTTGGTGAACCAGTGAGTTTCATTGGGGCAATTACAGAAATATAAGTGAGGATGTACTTACAGGGTCAGAAATGAATTAAAGACAGCTGTATCACCAAAGCCAACTGTAACATGGGTGACAGCTCAGGAATGCTGGTCAGCCAGAGAGCCTTGCAAGCCTGTGATCAGTTCAGCAGGTTGGGCCCTGCTCTTTGCTGATAGATCAACTGGTCTGACCCTTTACCCAGCAGGTTGGCTGGTCTCTGCTTTTTCCAGGCTGCTCTGCTTGTAAGAAGGAACCAAACTAAAGTCAGTTTGAATAGAACTTCCATTTTGAATAAAGGTCAAATGAAGTTTAACTTTCCAAGACCTTCCTGGGTGACCCAGATCCTGGTTGGCAAGTTGAGGCATGAATGCTGGGCAAACTGCCCAGCCACAGGAATAAGACAACCAATGAGAAGAAATATCCCCAGGAAAGCTCCTGTTCCCTGAATACTGATTGGTGGAAAATGGAACTGTAACTTGGCACAGATGTTTGTGTGTTTTATGCTTTCAAAGCTCCGTAACATTCTGCTTCAGGGTCACAGTTCTGCTCCCGAATCTGTTCTGCACCCCGGATGGATCAGCACCAGCTTGATTACAATACATACTAGTTTTCTGCATTTACTTGGTGTTTGAATTATGTTGCATCCGAGCAGATCCCATAACAGTGCTGGTCTGAACCTCTTCCAGGTAGCTCAGCTGGTTTGAGAGTCTTTGTCTGGAAATATTTCTCTTTTTGAGACAGTGTCTCACTGTGTAGCTTTGACTGTTCTGCTAATCATTATGCTATACAGTATGGCCTCGATCTACCTCCTAATTGCTAGGATTAAAGACATGCACCATCATATCTGATTATTTATAGCCCTTAATTTTAATGTCTTAATTCCTGCCGAGCAGTAGTAGCAGAGTCCTTTAATCCCAGCTCTGGGTGACAGAGACAAGCAGATCTTTGGGTTTAAAGCCAGCTTTATCTACATAGTGAGTTCCAGCAGAGTTAGTTATACACAGAGAAACTGTGTCTCGGGGGAAAAAAAATCTTAATTCCTACCTTACTGTCGGTAATGGATACCATTTTAGGGTAGAAGAAATTTAAACTGGTCTTTCATGCAAAAATTGGTACAAGCCATTAGTTAGGGTTCATTGTCTTCCAATAACCTTTTTATTTCTAAAGCAGTAAAAGGCACTATAATCTCTTCTGGGTCCGAACCTGCTAATTGTCGAAGTCTCAGTTTACCTTTTATAATTAATTCAGAGACCTTTTCTACACAAGTTTTTAATTTTTTTCTTGGTTTATGTGGTTAAAAAAATCCATTCTACGATAATAACATCTCTCTGCATTAAAATTCCTGTAGGAGAAATTCTGGAAGGAAATATGACAAGAATACAATTAAGATTTGGATTCACCCTATCCACATGTGCCTCCTGTAATTTCTTCTCAACAATCATCAATTCCTTTTCCGCTTCAGCTGTTAATTTTCTGGGACTGTTCAAGTTTTTATCATCATCTAAGGTTTTGTTTAAATGAATTGTTAGATCAGGTGTTATCCCAACAGCCATTCGTAGACTAGAAATGTCTCCTAATAATCTTTGAAAGTCATTAAGAGTACGCAACCAGTCTCTCCTAATTTGTGCCTTTTGTGTTCTAATTTTCTGTAAACCTATTCTGTAACATAGGTAATTAACAGAATCTCCTTTTTGAATCTTTTCAGGATCAATTTGTAATCCCCATTTAAGCAAACATCCTTTACTAAAGTATCTGTATTAGAATCAGATCACAAAATGTCATCCATGTAATGGTAGATTATAGACTTAGGAAATTGCTTATATAGTACTTCCAATGACTGGCTGACAAAGTATTGGCACAGGGTGGGGATATTGAGCATTCCTGTGGGAGGACGAACCATTGATATCTCCTAGTAGGCTGAGAGTTATTATAAGTAGGCATTGTGAAGGCTAACTTTTCTCTTATCCTTTTCTTGTAAAGGTATGGTGAAGAAACAATCCTGTAAATCAATGACTGTGAGAGGCCAACCTTTTGGTAACAGAGAAGGCAGAGGAATTCCAGATTGTAGAGGGTCCAGAGGTTGAATAACCTTGTTGATAGCCCTTAGATCTGTCACCATTCTTCATTTACCAGGTTTCTTTTCAACAGCAAATACAGGAGAGTTCCAAGGGCTGGTAGATTCTTCTATATGTCCAGCATCTAGTTGCTCTTGTACAAGCTGTTCTAAAGCCTGTAACTTTTCCTCAGCTACAGGCCACTGCTTAACCCATATTGGTTTCTCAGCTAACCATTTTAAAAATATGGCTGTTGGTACCTCTGAAGGTTTATCAATTGCTTTGTGTTCTTGTACGGCCTGAATGGCTTGTGTCTGTTGTCTGTAAATCTTCTAAGACTTTCCTCAGAAACATAAGTTTGGGGGGCTATTGGAATGCTAATCTGGGTATTCCATTGCTGCAATAGGTCACGGCCACAAATTCACTGCAGTATTGACTGTATATAGCCTTAGTCTTCCTATTTGCCCATATGGCCCTATGCATTTAACCCATCTTGTGCTTTATTTTACCCAAGATAGGGTTCTAATTCCCAGAAACTGAACATCTACCTCTTGAAGAGGCCGATTTGGATGCCAAGATTCTGGAGTAATGATTCCTCTGCACCCATGCCTAGTAAGCTTGCAATAAAAATGCCATTTATACATACTCTTAGCTTTGGTCTTTGGTCATTTATAGAAGTCTGCCATAATATATGTTTCCTCTCTCCTACTGAAGTTTTTGACTCATCCTCCACATTTAATCCATCATTCAGACCTGTATTGCTTTTTACAGCAAGCATTGGATTTTTTAATATTCCTGGTGAGACACATTTTCCACAGTAACTGGGAATGATTGGACCATATTCGACATGGGGGCCTGCGAGAGGCCCCTCCTTGCGTTGCCCGATGTTATCAGGTTGCCTTGTCTATCTTTCGTTGACCTACATTAATTGGTCCAATGTCGGCCTTTGCCACACCTACTATTTCTGCCATTCCCAGAGGAGACATTATTCCTAGGAATCCCTTGTCTACAGTCCTTTCTCAGATGTTCCATTCTATCACAATTAAAACATTTGGTATTTTGATGACTTCTCTTACCACTGGAAATTGTTTCTTCTACCCAAGCTTCCATACCATAGTCAAGTGTCTTGACATTTATTGTATGCA